TACTTTTTTTGAATGAAACGAGAAAAATAATCTAGTTAGTAAGGTAATGTTCGATTTTTGAGCACTTTACTTGTACTTTTTTGCAGTTTTTTAATTTCGGGAATTGAAGATATATTTATTCTTCCACATGTTTCTCTTTTGTCTAGCCATCTTCTCCTGAATAACTTAGAGACATTACTTGTGTAGATTGTCTTTAGACTTTAAACTTTTATTTAGTCACACACTTATTTACAATTATTGAAATATATAGGAAAGGGATACAAATATACAATTGAATTAAAATAAACCAATTAAATTATAACAATTCATGTTGGGTGTGCGTGGCTGTCGAAATAGTAAAAACTTTCGAGTCGACTTCCACATAAAATAGTAAATTTACAAGTGCTAGTGGACAAGATAGCAGATCTAGGTACAAGTTTATCTGAATAATAAATGTTTAACTAGGTAAATATATAAACACACAAAAAACATATACATACATATATACATTATATAATATTTCTAGATTATTTTTAATGAAAGAATGAATAAAGAGAAAAAAAATCATGAACTTAGAGTTAGAGTTATATCTCAAATCTGTGTTGAAATCAAAATAGATTTTAAATTGAACTTGGAWGAAGATGGAGGGTGACTGGAGGCTGTAGGGAAGAGAACATTAGTTTATAGTTTATTGATAGTTGATAGTTGATAAGATAAATATATATATTTCATATTTCACATATTTCACATTACAGACGAGTCTRTATTATAGCTATCATTAATATTTAACATATCTAAATACATAGCTTCCGGTGGCCTACAAGTAGTGAGAACTATTCAAAGGCAGTCCATTGGATTACATTTTGATTTTGTATAGAAAAGATTTGTATATATTAATTATGAAATCATAAAAACAGACATATGACGTAATRATATCTTATATATTTACTATGACTAGATGAATAAATAAACAAATAATGTTAAGATTAATTTCGAAGGACACCAAAGTAAACATTCGCTTATAAGGTTAGTCAGTTAGAGGCCGGCTGCACGCAGGCTAATATTATATAATATGATGTTAAGTAAAGTTAAAGCTTTAATATTTCTATTTTGTGATTGCTATATTTAGTGAGTGGAATTGTAAGATCCGTTCATTAACAAATAATTTAAATTTAAATTAATGAACAGAAAGCTGGAAATAACTGTATCGCCTTTTCATTCTCGAAATAGCATAGAACATTCCCCCTAGCCCCCAATCTCCACAGCCCTCGTACCCCTATCCCTTTTGGGCCGCTACTCAGGTTATAAATTGTTAGTCAAATGAAACTCTTGTTGGGGTGAATTTAGTCAAACTGTTGAATAGTTGACTTCACTTAATTTCGAGAAGTTATTTACTATTTTAGGCGGACTAACATAAATTTGAATCTACGAGTAAACGGCTACTAATTAAGAATACCATCGTCTATTTCTTCACTCATTCTCTGGTAATGTAAACCCGTTTAAGTTTCAAAGACTTGCGTCATCAATCGGTATATAACCTCGTATTGGTTCGTAGACTGTAAATACACAGGCAAATCAATTGCCAATACGACAGTAAGACGATACTACTACTTTCATTGCCGAGAACAATTAGTTTCTTACAAAGCAGCCCGGCTTGATCAATGGCTATCAAGATAAAGGAAAGTGAAGGGCTCCAGGTCGCTTACGTAACGCCTGGTCCAAACACAGTACACTGGAAAATCAAGTCTGTATTTTTATTCATCTCCCTAGCGACAATCAATACATAATGAGGCATCATTATAATATTACGTAGCCCCACCATGATCGTGATGTTTTGAAAGTCCTCAGATTGGGCTCGCCTAAAGGCTCAAAAAACTTTCAAGGATGACATCACTCACACCTATAAATTCCTAATTGTACTCGAGATCGTGCAATTTCCTATACTAATAGGTTTATCATTAATAAGCACGACAGGATACGAAACTGTTTGAGTTTTGTCGAATTTTTCGCATTGACGACATGTCAAACAGTCTTTTCAGGACTGACAGGTCAAAGGGAGAATAATTAACGTATAATAGCGTCACCTATTTTTTTGGAAAAACCTTTTCTGAGAATAAGTGAAATATCCGAGTTTTTTGTAGCACGCCATTTGTGCAGAATATTTTTCTTTGCTACACTATATGGCTCTTCCATTAATCAATCTTTTAGACCATCTAACTATAGTCAACATCTTTGAGTTACAATCACTAAAATTTATTCACCAGTGGGTAACTAAGCAGCTTCCATCAATCTTTGATAATTATTTYAAATTTTCCAAGAGCACTCATAGCTATAACACTAGATATGCCTCAAACCATAGTTAATAGCTTAACTATGCTCAAACAGTAACCTTCTCAAGCAAAAAGTTAAAACAAATATTGGCAAACAAACAATTGGTGCTCTAGCACTAGGTCTAGGCATGTAGTAAAAGGATGACTGGACTGGACTGACAAAACATGGACTGACAAAACATGGACTGACAAAACATGGACTGACAAAACATGGACTCACAAAACATGGACTCACAAAACATGGACTCACAAAACATGGACTCACAAAACATGGACTCACAAAACATGGACTCACAAAACATGGACTGACAAAACATGGACTCACAAAACATGGTACTGACAAAACATGGACTGACAAAACATGGACTCACAAAACATGGACTCACAAAACACGGACTCACAAAACATGGACTCACAAAACATGGACTCACAAAACATGGACTGACAAAACATGGTACTGACAAAACATGGACTCACAAAACATGGACTCACAAAACATGGACTCACAAAACATGGACTCACAAAACATGGAACCACAAAACATTAAAAATTATAGATTTAAAAAAAAGTAAAGTACCTATATTTAACGTCGGTAGTTCCTTCAGTTGAAATTCAACTGCTATCAATGGAAGCCGACGGTGCGCACTTTACTCCC